GCGAAGATAATGTGATATTTATGTGACACCTTAAGATGAACCAAGACTAACGAGCGAAGACCCGATCACACCGATATCACTGGCTTCCGACTACAACGATATCTCTGGCACCCCATCATACCGATATCTTTTTGGCACCCCATCACACCGATATCTTTTTGGCATCCGCTAACACCGATATCACCGGTATCCGATTCCACCGATATTTTTGGGGCAACCGATTACACCGATATTTACTGGCACACCATCAGACCGATATCTTTTTAGCACCCGATCACACCGATATTACTGGCACCCGATTACACCGATATTTCTGACACCCCATTGTAACCGATATTACTGGCATCCCATCACATCGATATCTTTTTGGCACCCGATCACACCGATAACTCTGGCTCCCGATATCTGTTACCCGTATTAGTGCACCCGATTGCGTTTCACCTTAGCCGATACGATAATTAAAGTGACGATAAAGAAAGAAAGACCGATGGGATGAAGATGAAAGAGACATAAAAGAAAGAAAGAAAGAAAGAAAGAAAGAAAGAAAGAAAGAAAGAAAGAAAGAAAGAAAGAAGCATAATAAGACATAAATCAACGAGACAAGAAAATAGAATGAAGACAAAGAAGAGAAAAAAATTACGAAGATAAAAAGACAAAAGTGAAATAAACGAGAGATAAACAAATTCAAATCAAAGATGGCGTTTGTTTACGTTCGTGTGAAGTCGAGAGTCAGGATGAATCCACGAACGATTAAAAAAAATCCATTGGGTTAAAAAAAATAGTAATTGACGTTTGTGTATTTCTGAGCTGCTTTATCCCCTCCTTCATTCCTTCTCTCCAGACATCTTCGGTGGAGGAGGAAGGAGGGAAGGAAGGTAGGAAGGAAGGAAGGGTGGAGGGTGAGAGAGGGAGGGAACGGAGGATGGTTGAAGGATTGGAGGAATGGTAAAAGAAGGAAAGAAGGAGTTAGAGATGGAAGGAGTGGATGAGGGAGGGAGGAAGGCAGAGAAGGAAGGAGTTAGGAAATGTAGGAGCGATGGAAGGAGGGAGGGAAGAAAGGGTGGAGTCCCAAGTGGGGTGGAAGGGAAGCAGGAAGGGAGGGAAGGAGGGGGTGAGAAGAGATGAGGGGTGAAGGGGGAAGGAGGGGGTGAGGAGAGAAGGAGGGGGTGAGGAGGGAAGGAGGGGGTGAGGAGAGAAAGAGGGGTGAGGAGAGAAGGAGGGGGTGAAGAGAGGAGGGGGTGAGGAGGAAAGGAGGGGTGAGGAGAGAAGGAGGGAATGAGGAGGGAGTGAGGAGGGAGGGAGGGAGTGAGGAGGGAAGGTGGGAAGGAGGGAAGGAAGGAATGAGGAGGGAGTGAGGAGGGAGGGAGGTAATATATATGACCCTCCACGAGATAATTATAAATTAGTACTCCACATATCGCCTTCTGGTGGCCATTAACGTCCTCCTCTTCCTCCCCTTCCTCTCCTTCCTCCTCCTCTCCTCCTTCCCCTCCTCTTCTTCCTATTCCTCCTCTCCTGCCTCTCACACATCCTCTTCTCGTAAATTTTCCCCATTCTTCCTACGTCTCTTCTGTCCCTCACATTCCTCTTCCTCTCACTTTCCTCTCTCCTCCTCCGCTTCTCTCATACACTCTTCTTCCACATCCTCCTCCTCTTTATACTCCTCTTCTTCCTTCTCTATCTCCACTCTCTCATACCCCCCCCACTCCTTCTCCTCCTCCCCCACTTCCTTCTGGTCTTCCTCTTTTTCTTCCTACTTCCTCAACATCAAACTTTCACTTAATGGTGCACCGCTGCCTGGCGTAATACCTCATCTCCGGAGATAATCGCCCGGGCCTCTCCAGTATCCCTGAGAGATAGTTTAACTCCAGTATCTCCCAGAAATAGTTCACCTTCAGGGAGATAATCGATCGAGAGATAAGAGACCTCTATCTCTCTATGGTTGACTAAACAGCGACTCGATGACGTTGGGTTTAATATAGAGACTATTTTCCATTAATACTACTGTAACAATATGTGTGTTTTAGTAGCGTTAAAAAGTACTGTATATCAGCTTTAACTATAATGAAAGTAGTATTAGAAAGTTTATCAGCTTAGATTATAAAGAAAGTAGTGTTGTGAAAGTAGATCAGGAGGAAAGTATAGGAAAGTATTGTTAGGAAAGTAAATTACTGTGAAAATAAAAGAAAGTAAAGTTTGAGAAAGTACATCAGGATGACTGTATAAGAAAGTAATACTAGGAAAGTATATAAGCATAGAGAAATTATTAAAACGTAGTTAAGAAAGTATATATCGATATAAGAGAAAGTATAGAAAGTATACAGAACATTACCTTGAGAAAAATTTATCATACCACAAAAGTATACAAAAGTACAATGAAACAGAAAAAAAAATATAATAAAAAAGTATTATTATTTTATTTACTTGTGTGACGGAGTTGATAGTTTGGTGTACCAGAAACTTTTGAGTTGATAATAAAAGTATTGACTAAATTTTATTA